CAAACCTCAGAATTAGCCATAGGTTCACTTTCAAGTGGGACAATGACCCTAAGCATACTGCCAAGGCAATGAAAAAGTGTGTCTGGGAATGTCCTTGAGTGTCCCAGCCAGAGCTGGAGCAGAAATTACCCAAATCCAGATGTGCAAAGTTTGTCACATCAAACCCAGAAAGACTTGAGTCTGTAATCTGGGCCAAAGGTTCTTCAGATAAATACTGTGTGAAATTTCATTCATTTTTTTTTCATTAAATTTTTTCTCTTTAATATATTTGCAATGATGTGAAAAGTCTAATTTTGCTTTGTCATTATGAGGTATAAAATGATGTAAGAAAAAAACTCAAGTAGCACAATTGTAGCAGAAGGGTGCAGCATAAAAGCTGAATATTTCTTATGTCTGTCGGTCTGTCTATCTATCTATTTATCTATCTAAATTATATATTATTACGCAATTAATGTTCCTCTTTCGTTTGCCTTCTGTCATTACATTTATGCTTGGACAGATTTCCAAGCCTATCCATATGTCCCATCTGTTTTCTTCAACTCATTTCAATGAAAACATGAACAAATGAAGCCGTTTTTACCAGTAATATGTGATGTTGGTAATTATCAATGTAACCAAACCCTTTATATATATCCTGTGTTTCAGAGGCAGATAGAATGTAGTGCAAACTCTAAACTGTACTAAAGGGGCATAAACATCACTTCGTCTCATGCAGGCCCAGACTGGTCATTGGGTAAACGCCTGGTGGGACACGAAGGCCATGGGCTGAGGCCTGGAGTGTATATCAGAGGATCTCCCCTGCTGCACTATCCAAGCACCGGTCCTGCTGTGTGCCATGATGGGTTGGTTGAGAGATTAAAGATCTCCCTCAACGGCCTAAAAGCACTTCAATTCGTAGAGGGGTGAGGACCTGGGAACTCTAACCTGCAGCTCTCCCGGGACCTGATGTCCATCTCAGGAAGTTGGTGTGTTGCTGCAGTTACCATGGCTATGCCCCAAGGCCAGATTTTGCGAGAGTAAACTCTAGCCCCAGGAGCTGCAGGCTAGGGTTCATTCACCACCGGACCACCATGGCTTGTGATTTTACCCCTAAGAAGGGGGAGGGGGGGGGACAACATTTATTTATTTAATTACAAATAATACACACACAGTACCTTTCAACAGATTCACACTCTGCACCCCTCACACTCTCACACACTGCACCTCTCATGCACATTGCATCCCTAACACAAACAGTGCACCCCTCACACATTCTGCACCCTTACACACTATATCCCATATAGACACTGCATCCCTTGTACACACACTCTACCACTTACACACCCACTACATTCCAGACCCATACACACCATATCCCTTATACACACACTAGATCCCCTGCAGAGACTCTGGATGCTCTACACCAGGGGTTCTCAACCCAGTCCTCAGGACCCCCTACCAGTCCAGGATTTGGGGATTACCTGGGTGTGTCTCAGGTGTTTAGAAAAAGGGAAAAAAAAACCTTAGACTCTAAGGTGTTTTTTTTTTTTTCTAAACACCTTAGACACACCCAGGTAATCCCTAAACCCTGGACTGGTAGGGGGTCCTGAGGACTAACGTTGAGAACCCCTGCTCTACACAAATACACACTAGATCACCCATACACACTTTCGATCTGCTACACACACACACTACATTCCTGACATACAAACTTTGGATCCCCTATGCACATACAAGATTTTGTACCTTAGAAGTCAAAAAACTTGCTGAATCCACAACATCCACTGCATCCAGGGGTAGTCAACCTTTTTATACCTACTGCCCACTAATGCATCTTTCTTGATGGTAAAATTTCCTTACCGCCCACCAGTGATGCAGTAGCTCGAACTTTTTAGCGCAAGTGTCTTCAGATACTCTGGTAAATAGTCATGAGCATATTTCTTTTTTTTTTTAGACGTGGGTTCTAAATTTGTTGCACAATTTAACAACTACTTTTACTCTTACCATGTTTTGATCTGCACTCCACACAGTGCTCCCTAACCCCTATTTTCCCATTTATAACAAACACCAAAAACAACACTGTTAAGTGCCAATTTTTATTACGTGTCACCAGAAAAAGAAATTTTTGCTACTTTTCCTGCCTTCTTCTTCTTTACCTTCCTTATATTATATCACTATATCAGGAGTCTCTTTATCCCGTTCTCTTTATTCACTCCTTCTCCTTCCTTTACTTATTTTCTTTTCTTTCTTTTATTTTATAAGATAACAAAACTTAAGTTGCCAAAACATGATTTAACTTGCCACTCTAAACATTGCTTTCTCTCCTCCTTTATTTTATCCCCCCTTTTTTAAATTTTCTTCCCTTTTTTAATTTTTTTTTTTGGATCTTTTCCTTTTTATCTCCTTTTTTTTTTAATGCTTTTCTTTTACCTTCCTTATGGCAATGTCCAAAAGTAAGGCTGAGCTAGTTAACCCACTTATTATTATTAGCCAACAACAATTTTCTCCTTCTCCTGCCTATAACTTTTCTTTCTCCTATTTTACAAGTGCTCTGCTTCTGCCTGTCCCTGCTATCGTGCATCAGCTTCCACTCCTCCCCTTCCTCTTCCCACGTGTTACACTCGCCCGTGTTGGCACGCACGCGCATGCACGCATTCTCTTGTTCATGTGCACGCATTCTCTTGTTCTCACGAGTTCGCGCGCATATGTACGCGTTCATGCGTGTTTGTGCACTCGCACCCGCCCCCCCGCCCACTCTCTTGAAGGAAGGAGGATTCAGCTTGTTGTGCTGCCGAACCCCCTACCGCCCACCTGGAATTCTGAAACGCCCACTAGTGGGCGGTAGGGACCAGGTTGACGACCCATGCACTTCACAAACACACTCTATGGATACACTATACACACACACAATGCATACACTACAAACACACTGCATACAATACACAAACAAAGACACTGCATCCACTACACAAACATATACATTACACTCACTTGAAACACACAGACACTGTATCCACTATACACACACTCTGCATCCAGTACACACACACACACATGCTGCATCCACTACACATAGACACTGCATCCACTACACAAACACACACTCTACATCCACTATATACACACTCACATTCACTACACACACTGCACACATCATTTTATCCTTGGACCCAGGCACATTGGGCTGGCCATGCCTGTTTGGTTTCTTTAAAAAGCACACTCTCTACGTGTATATAGTTAGATACCTGGTGTAAATACACAGGGCTGTTTGATTTGTAAAGAAGGATGAAATGGGCAGGGGATACATGAATATGTTTTAGCTATGAACAAAAATGACTGCTTTAAAGTGCAGCGATAAAGCCTCGCTTGCCAATCCTATCTGAGTCACTCTCCTTTCTGCCTTGTTTTAATGGACGTTTTCCATGGAAACCCACACAGAGCAGCGCCGGGAACTGTTTTAAATGTTCTGAATCATTCAGCCACTCAGCCAAATACTGGCAGATGGTGAAACAAAATGATGTGACTTAGTTACATTTCACAGGTCTTCAACAAAGCAAAAGGATCTCAGAACACTTAACATCTTGATTTCCAGAGGATAGCAGTGA